TGATGGTGAATTGATGTCAAATTCACAGGCAGGATGTGGTTTATAGGGGAGGACAGGGCTAGTTGTAGGGGGGGCTGGAATTCAGAATTCTGCATCGTGTGTCTCCGTACTTTTCCCATCAATTTATTAGTTGTTAAATAATTAAGCCATTACTTATAATAATTTAGGGTTAATAAATAAAGACAACTAATTTATATATATTACTGATAATTAATTATGGTTAATAATTAATAATTCTTGCATTTTATTAACAATTATAAAAAATAATTAATAGAAAGAAATTACGTCAAATTATTCAAAGTAATTGTTTAATTAATATTAAATATCAAAAATAATATTTTTAGAAAATAGTATTAACAAAATTGTATTACATTCTTCTCAATAAATTAGGGTAAATTATCCATAGTAATTAATTAATTAATTAATAAATATAAAAAATAATCAAAATGATTGTTAATATTAATTATTTTTGATAATTTGTATTGATGAAAAGCTATCATAAAAGATTTATGTTAATAATTATCAATACTTAACAGTTAATCATTTCTGGAATTATTTAAAATTTTCATAATTTAGTACAATTTTTTTTTATAATTTACCGTATATTTTTAGAAAATATTAATAGTGTTGATAATTATCAAAAATTAATCATGATGATTTTTGATAACTAATTATAAATTTTGTAAATAATTATTGGTAATTTTGATATCTACTCAAAATTATTTAATGTTAATATTTTAGGGGTAGTTTATGAAATTTGCCCTTTAATTTTTCTACAATAAATATTGATTCACTGTAATTAACAATTATTAATTAACAAAAATGATTGATAATTTAGAAAAATTAACAAAAGCATTTTCATAGTAATTAATAAATTAATAAATAACGGTTATTAAACAAAAAAAGTTATTGATTTACTGTAATTAATAAATTACTTTAAATTATTCATATAACTATTTAATTAATATCATTAACGAAACTGTTATTATAATATTTTCAATAAATTATAGTAAATATTTATATTAATTAATATAAAATTATCAAAGCTGTTATTAATATTAATTAATTTTGATAATTAGTGTTAATAATTATTAATAGTTAACAGTTATTAATTTCTGAAATTATTTATAATTTTTCATAATTTCGTACAAATTTTTGATAATTTACTATATTTTTGAAAAGAATATTAATAGTATTAGTAATTATGAAAAGTTATTCATTATAATTTTTAGAAATTGATGATAATTTTTGTTAGTAATTGTTGATAGCTTTTAATATCTACTAAGAATTATTTAGTTTAATATTTTTATTTTCTATAGTAAATATTGATTTTACCATTAATTAATAATTATTAATTAACAAAAGTTACGCATGAAAATTTCTAGAAAAATTATTCATTATAAAATTTATAGGGACATTTTTCATGATATTTTTTTCGATAATCATTTAGATTTTCCAATCTAACCATAGAGATGGAAGGTGGTCACGTATCTGGTACGTTAAATCCTTGGTACCCAATATATATACCAACTCAAGGTGTGTGGTGAAAGCCTACAATAATTAATGGGTAAATAAATAAAAAAATATTATAGTAAATTCAGAATTGTTGATGATGTGTGCATGATGGGGTGGGTGCCATGGAAGTCGCCATGGGAGAATGACGGTTTAGCCTAGGGTCATAATTTTTAGGCCCAAAGTACAGTTGGGTGGGTACTATCTTGGAATTGATGCCAATTCACGAGGTGGCATTGGTGTGTAGAGTGGGAATTTTTGACATTTTGAATGTTTATAGTTCTGCAGTGGAAATCAAAAATTTGCATTGGTCCTGTTCATACTTCTCTGCATTTCTTTTGCCTTTAGTCAACCATTAGTCACGGAAGTCACCATCCTTTTCTTGAGTTTCGAGCTGTGGAAATTGTTTAGATAAAATCATAAAAACAGCCCTTTTCCTTATAATGTTAGTGCCTTCACCAATCCTTAGTGGGTCACATATATGGGTGATCATTTCAGCTCGGCCTAGAAAATTCTGGGCTTGGGCCTGGGTTTTGTGTTCAAGCCCAGCCTGGGCCCGAGCCCACAACATGAGCGCAAATTTTAGGGCCGGGCTTGGGCTTAATACTTCAACCCCGGCCCGGCCTGCATATATTTAAACTTACACATTTTGTGTATAATGTATACATATGCATACATATTATTTTATATTATATTATATATTTTATATATAAATATTATAGCATGCATATTATATGTAATATTTTATATTATATAATATATAAAATAAGTTTATATGCATGTTATGTTATTTAATATATAGATATGTAATGTTTTATATATGAGTGACATTAGCCTGGAATCAAGCCCAGCCCGACCTAGGCCCATACCCGACCTAGGCCCATATAGACCTAGGCTAGGGCTATGGGTGATCATGGGCCAGACCCGGGCCGGGCTTTGCATTTATGATAAGGGCTATAGCTTAGGCCCGGGCCCGGCCTGGCCTAGGGTTCCGAGCTTGAAACATAAGCCCTAGCCCGGGCTGGGCCAGGCTAGATTCTAGGCCAATGTCTTTCATATATAAAACATTACATATCTATAATATTTTGTATTAAATGACATAACATACATATAAACTTATTTTATACATTATATAATATAAATATTACATTTAATATAAATTATACTTGTCATGTTATAATATTTATATATAAAATATATAATGTAATGTAAAATAACATGTATACATTATACACGTGTAAGTTTAAATATATGCGATGGGCCCGAGCTGGGCTTGAAGTATTAAGCACAATGCCAACCCTAAAATTTGTGGGCCTGATGTGAGCCCAGGCCCAAGCCAGGCCTAAACACAAAATGTAGGCCCAAGCCTAGAATTTCCAAGCTGGGCTTGTGCGGGCCAGGTCGGGCCGGACTGAAATGATCACCCCTAACTAGGACTTATGTTTCAGGCTCGGAACCCTAGGCCAAGCTGGGGTTGGGCCTAAGCTATAGCCCTTATCATAAGTGCAAAGCCTGGCCCGAGCCCAACCCATAATCACCCCTATTCACATAGGAAGGACGAAAACTTCTCACTATAATTAGGAGTCCCACACTTAAAAGAGCATTAGTAGTATTAAAATCTAAGATGGTGATGTCATTTTTACCTGCCCAATCTTGATAGAGGGTGGATTTGATACTCACAAAATTGTGTTCACATTGTTCTTACCACTGTTTTTAAAACCGGACCGGATCGGACGGTGAGACTGGAAAAACCAAAAACCAGTCACCTGATCGGTTCCATTTTCCTCTAAAACCGCTTTTTCCCCCAAAATCGTTGATTTTGGTTAGCAAATCGCTGAACCGGCTGATTAACCATTCGAACCATTTGAACCATTCAAACGGTTTTGACTGTTTTCTAGATTTTAATTTTTTAGTTAGAATGGGCTGACTGTTTGGGTTGAATAGTCGAACCGTTCAAACCAATAACCAGACCCCTGACCGGTTCGATCACCGATTCGTTTTTAAAAACCATGATTCTTACAGAGGGATATACGTACCCTCTTATCTTTGAAATTACTTCTTCCATGAACTTATTTTTGGCATTTTTTCCTATTTAATCATCTTTTCATTTCCCCCTTCTTTTTCACCAAAATCTTTCTCAAATTGTAAGTTGGAGTCTAACTTGTTGGGTTGGTCTTACGTGAGTTTATTGGAGTAATGTCATCACTGGTGATGAGGCAGAACCCTAATGATCCTCATTGAACCCTAATGACCCACAGTTTTCAACTTAATTAAATTCTTGGTTTTCTCAGAGGCCTGTAGATGATTTGTTTCAATCATGGTTTTCAAAATCAGACTGGATTGAACAGTCGGACTGGAAAAACTGGGAACTGGTTAGTTGACCCGTTCCATTTTATGCTAGAACCATTATTTTGCCAAAAACCATTGATTTGGTCAATAAACTACTGACTCGGGCAGTCAAACCGTTCGAACTGTCCAACAGTATTGGCGATTTTTATTTTTTATTAAAATTTTTAATTTTTTTTGTCAAAATAGGCCATCCATTCAGTTTGAACGATTGGACTGTTCGACCTAAAAACCGGACCTCTGACCAATTTATTGTCCGATTCAATTTTAAAAACCTTGGTTTCAATTTATTAATATAAGACTCAGTTTGGATGGAGTAAAAAGCAAATATATAAAGTGCAAAACCTTATATTTTATATATTTTTGCAATATACATATTTGTATTTGTACTCTTTTTCAAACTAAGACTAAAAAGTTTTTCTTAAAAAAAAACGCATGCAAAATAAACTGAATTGAACAATCTCTCTCTCTCTCATATCTTTCTTGGGTTCTCCATCAAACTTGTACAAAGTTGTTGTGTTTATATGAAGAAAACAAAATCCAATTCTCACCATCACATTACTTAATATAATGACCTTGTAATACGTACATCTTAAATATTATTTATAGAGCTTGTTTGACAGGCATAAAATAACGATTCTTGGTTGTATTTTCCTGTTGCATCGACATCGGCCAGTTTTTTAATCAAATAAAGATTTGCTTCCATGTGATGAGATTTCTTCAATACCAAGTATCCAATTTTCTGTTTTTTTTTTTATTTGTTTTTTTACATCTAATTGAATATGGACAGCAGAACCCAAGATGAATGGTTTCATTTTAGGCCTTGTTTGGTGTACCTTTGTGTATGGGTTGTTAGTTTTTTAGAAGTTTGGCAGCCTGTATTTTAGTTTTTTTTTTGTTTCGTTTGATTGGGAAAAGAATCTAATTGTCAAAAGTGGCAGCTCCAAAAAGACACGGAAAGACACGGAAAGCCCATTTTCGGAAAGTTTCAAATGAAGTTTTTACTTTTTTTTTTTAATTCATTTTCACGCGAAAAGACATGCCTTAACCATACGATCTTCAAATTATTAAGATCTTGATGCAAAAATTTATATCATCTTTTAATTGTTAGAATTTTCAAAAATCAAAAAAAACTTGCGAAATGGCCCTTTAATTAATTTGTCCATAATGAAACACTAAGGACCCACTTCAAGCCAAGCAATCTACATTAATTATATATATCTTGAACAACGCTAGAGCTTTGAATATATAGAAGGGGTGGATTGAATGAAGAATTTTCCAGTGGGGAGTTCATCAGGTGGGAGAAGAGCGATCCTAGTTCCAATGTGGGCTGCCACATGAGCCGAGTGACATCCCTTGCCACGTGTCATAGATGTTCTAGTGAAGCCCGGACAGAAGCAATTCACACTTAAACCACGTCCCTCGTAACGCTTTGCCTGAAGCCTGGAATACGCATTCAGAGCAAGCTTAGACACAGAGTAGTCAGTCCATTTCTCAGGCCACCCTTGCTCCATCCATGTCCCCTTCTTCACGTTCTCAAGGAACTCTCTCAACATTCTCTCGATTCCATCCTCTGACAGCCCTTCTTCTTGCAAACTCTCTCTTACTGCAGGATTTCTCACCTTCTACAAGGCAATAACAAATGAAGGTAGCCCTGGTTGTTAGCTTAATTCCACTTCCACTTGAAACATAAAAAAACCCCAAATGGCTTAAGCTTTGGGATTTATTCTTTTGAACCCTAGTTTCGCTTCGCATGGGTTCCCTCGGCTACAGGAGTTCGGATCTACTGACCATGACACATTGCTAGTCACGTGCATCCTACTCTTACTATACATCAAGAACATTGGTTGTACTTCAAAACACCGATATATATTCCCGATGTATATGCGTGTGACCAGCAGATCCGTCTATTGGGAGCATCTCCCATTAAGGTATTCTCAATATACGGTGAGATGTGCATGTGGGGTACACTCTGTGATGCACCAATTAATACGAACTCTTTGGCTTTAGGTTATAAGGGTTGAACTATGATACCAGAAAACTTATAACCAATCAACCGTGTATGATAGAAGCGGTAATTAACCAATCAGGTGGTTCATCAAAATTTACCAGGATTGGTGGTGGGGGTTTGATTGATCAAAGCTCTTCCCGTATCATACTTTTTTGGCATCATAAATTTATGGGAAAATTCCCGATTAGTACCCTGTATTTTGGGTCTAATGCCACTTTGGTTCCCGAACTTTAAAATGCGACAATTCTGTACCCAAATTTCCAAAATGTGTCAATCCATTACTCTCCGTTAATCAGCCATTAAGTGGCATTTAAAAAATACACAAATACCCTTCAAGTGTCATCTAATTTTTTTTATCAACCATCCAAAGGATGACAAAAAATTAACAGTCCCAAATCCTTGTCTTTTCTATTCAAGAATGTTGACAAAAAATTAACAGACCCCAATTTTGTTGAACAGAAGAGGCAAGGATTTGAGACTGTTAATTTTTTGTCAACATTTGGATGGTTGATCAAGAAAATTATATGACACTTAAAGGGCATTTGTGTCTTTTTCAAATGTCACTTAACGGCTGATTAACAACTGATTAACGACAGATACTAGATTGACACGTTTTGAAAGTTCAGATATTGAATTGTCGCATTTTAAAGTTCAGGGACCAAAATGACACTAAGCCCAAAGTACAAGGTACTAATCGGGAATTTCCCCTAAATTTATTCATATTTATAAAAGCAATTCTCACCGAATGCTTAAAACACTTTTTTGGTTCAAAATTTGTTTAAACTGAGCCTAATCAACTTATGTTTAGTAAGAGTTGTGAGCTAATGTTCATGGCAATAACAAAAGAGTGTAGGTCTTGGTGATAGCGAAAACCCAAAATGGCTTAAGGTTGCTTTTGGATAAGCTTTTCCATTTGTGTTTTGGCTTCAGGTTATTATGTTTTTAAAAGCAGCTATTAGTCTTGCCAAACACCCAAAAACACTTTTTGGCTCAACTTTGTTTTTCACAGTTCAAACCTCAAAAATAAAAGCTCATCCAAACGGAGCCAAATTAACTTACGTTCAGTAGACCGAGTTGTGAGCTAACGTTCAGTATCCGGCTTATGGAAGGCGATCGACGGAACAGTGGCAGAAGGGCCTCCGTCAGCAACTTGGGCCCATAAAAGTTGGTCCTAATTACAGTCAGAGCATGCTCCACTGAGTTCTCCCCAATGTCATTGAAGGATACAGCTGCATTGTTTACCTGTAGATGTTACAAGCAATTTTGTCAGACTCGGACCGGACAGAACCATTATGGGTCAAATGGTTCAGCTGCCCGGTTCAATCATTGAACTTGTTCTAATTAAAAATATATAAAAAAAGAAGATAGTAGAAGATGGTTATTTTTAAATTTTAATTATCTTCTAAAGCTATTTGTTTTAGATGAAAATAATTAATCTTAAAACAATAAATATTAGAGATTAATCACACTTTCCAAGCCAGCATTTCCCAGAACCACCCAAACCAAACAGACCATAAACATATTTACATTTTTGTCTATGCCAGGCTGCCAGCCTCATGTATGAAGTTGAGGGGGAAACGAGTTGGTGAGTTTTCTAATCAAAGAAGGAATACATTAATTAATTAAATAAAGGGAAAAACGTGTCGCCACCCATGCTACATATTGTAAGTTTCAGTATTAAATTGAACAAAGAAAAAAAATGAAGAAATACAGATGGCTTCTTTAATTTCTTGTTAAGGTTATATGTTTTCTCCATTATTTTAAAGGATTGATAGAGAGAGAGAGAGGAATGATACCAAAAAATTTGACCAACAGAGCTCACAAGAATTTTGATGAATAGAAGTTGCATTAGTTATCAATTCTATGATAGTGGTTGATTGATTATCAGTTTTTATTAAGGTTCAAAATATCGATACAGGTCGATATCTCGGCTTATATTGGTGCTTTTTTTCTATGTGTGTATTATTTTCTTATTTTTTCTGAATTTGATTCAGAGGGATCAGTTTAAGGCCTGTCTACCCTCTGAACTGTGATCTGACCCGAAACATCTTCTGTAGGGCGGTGTATCAAGAAGGTCCCGATACAGCTCAATACGTATCAAATATTTGAACCTTAATTTCTCTCTCTATGTATCTATCTAAAGAGAGATGTTTACATATACTTACAAGAATATCCAACCCTCCAAATTGTTTGTTCAGCCATGAGACAAAGGCGTAGATGGAACCGGGGTCTGATACATCCAACTGAGAGAATTCTACATAAAGTCCTTCAGCTCTAAGTGATTCAACTGCCTGCTGACCCTTAGACAAATCTCTGGATGTAAGGATCACTGTTAGTCCCATCTCTGCCAGTCTCTTAACCATTGCAAAACCAATGCCCTTGTTTGCCCCAGTCACAACAGCTACCGTATCTTCAGACCACCATCTGCAAGCCCCATATCATCTCATGTTACATTACAGAAGAATATACAAGAAATCTAGAGAGAGAGAGAGAGGTGTCTCACCTGGTTGTGGAGAGATGAAGAGAAGAACTTATTGGCCTGTCTGAGGGGAAGGAAACCTCAAGTTCTTTTGATTCCATTGCATAGAAATGATGATCAAACCTTATTGAGACAAATTGCAAAACAACACCCTATATATAGATGTATAAAATAGGGAAAATTCCCAATTAGTATCATGTATTTTGGGCCTAGTGTCATTTTGGTCCTTCAAACTTTAAAATGTGATAATTCAGTACATGAACTTTTAAAATATGTCAATTCAGTACTTACCGTTAACTAGCTGTTAACCAGTCATTAAGTAGCATTTGAAAAAGATACAAATATCCTTCGAGTTTCATCTAATTTTCTTTATAAATCATCCAAACGTTGACAAAAAATTAACAGTTCCAAATCTTTGCCTCTTCTATTCAAGAAAGTTGGGGTCATTAGAATGCCCATTGAGACATGACTCCAACTTTCTTGAATAGAAGAAGCAAGGATTTGGGACTTTTATTTTTTTTCAATGTTTGGATGATTTATAAAGAAAATTAAGTGACATTCAAAAGGCATTTGTGTCTTTTCAAATGCCACTTAACAGCTCATTAACAACTAATTAATGGTAGGAACTGGATTAACACATTTTGAAAATTCAGGTGCTAAATCATCGTATTTTAAAGTTTAAAGACCAAAATGACACTAAACCCAAAATATAGGATACTAAATGGAAATTTTCCCCATAAAATAAGAGCAAGTGTTGTGGCAAATTAAATTAAAGGAGGGTGAAGTAGTCAAAGCATATGAATTGTAACAGCGATTGTCTATAGAGCTACGGTACACAGATTATAATATTTGCACTTGTTATTTTTTTTCCTTTCATCACGAGGAGAATTGAATGGTCAATCAAACCAGATGGACCCTCTAGTTTACTGACCATATGGAAACTTCTATCATCCATGTCAACCTTGTAAATTCATTTATTGAAGCGTACCATTTTATATTATAAATTTAATTATTAAAAGATACGACATGAAACGGGTCAGATCTTAGTGGGTTCATCCATCCACATTCAATGAGAAATTGGGAGCCGGTGCATGATTTATTATTCGTCATAGAGATGGCAATTTTTCTCATTTCTCCAATCCCTGTAGGGATTCGTCCCGAATGGGATGGGGATGAAAATGAATTTTTTCCCATGAAAATGGAGATAAAGAAATTTCCATCCCCATTAGTGGGGATGGGGACAGGGACGGGGATGGGGATGGGAATTTTCATGGGAGTGAGGATGGGGAGAAACTCCCCGTCCCCACCCTGCTCCATTGCCATTCCTAATTCATCAGATCTCATCGGATGGATTCGTTTATGCATCCAGATTCGTTTGCTCCACTAAAATAGGAATATGGACCAGAGAATCTCAGATTGGTTTGCTCCATTTGCCCTAGCTAAAAATAGGGTATCAGTGTTGCCACATGGCAATTTTTCAGGTGGGATGAGAATAGTGATACTATGACATAACAGAGAAGTTTTATATATAGTCCTGTTAGACCGTCATATCTATGTTTGCAAGTTGGCTAAATTAACCAAACTGAGGGGTGACTTAATTGATATATTAGCTGGTTTGCTGTAGCATTGACATAGATTGGATTCCTGCAATCACCGGCTTTGGGGATGGAAGTTGTTGGTGGTGCACATCACACCAAATACCAAAAAAATTGAAACTAAATTAGGTTGGGTTGAGATCAAATCCAACCCGAGTTGTTACTTGTTAGACCTGGACTCAACCCTAACTGGCTTCGGGCTAACCCACCCCAACAAGATGGTGTGATCCCTATCGTGTTCAACATACATTGGCCCAAAATTTCCCAAATTATTAAATGCTTTCAGACTTTGGTCCATGGCAACCATGGGGCTCACACGGTTTACAGAGTGACCCCTCCTACTGAATCATTATATAATTCTAAAATCTAAGTACTATGATTGAGGGGTAGGGATCTGCTACCAGTAGTGTCCCAACAGGCCATTGCAGCTGTACATTAGGACGTGTTGGTATAGCGCATTGTTGGTAGGGAGATGTTCCCAATGTGCGATTACAGTTGCCAGTTGGGATGTGTTGGTATAGCGCATTATTGGTAGCAGATCTGAACTTATGAGTCATGACCAATCAATCAAGTTCCTCTTTTTCTATGTGGTTATACACACAAGGGGTGGCCCATCGCCCATCCCGAGCCCATGACCCCCAAACCCTGGTGTAGGCTGAATTCAGGTGGTTGTTTTGTTCTTTATCTTATAAATGTTTTGTACTGTATTTTCCTTAAAAAACTAGAGAAGTTTTGAGAAACATTTATTAAGGATTTTTGACAGCTAAGTATCTTATGTGCCAAACAAGGGAAAAAACACCTTAAGAAATGATATTTCCCCATCAATCCCAAGTCTCCCATACAACTAGCAGGAGACCTCACCAACCAGTCAGTTGGCATCTTGCGATGACAGTCCAAATTGGGCATTTTATATTCATTTCTCATTAAAAACGTGAGGAAAATCTTGTTGAAGGATTATAATGAGTGTGATATTCCAGTTAAATATGGACAGTCGGTTCTTAAGATTCAAAGCTGCATATTTTTCTCTTCCAACGTGTCCCAATTTAATTTGGGGTCGCAATTAAGGCTATATTTGGTTTGAAGGAAAAGATAGGGAAAGAAAGGAAAATATATATAGAAAAACTTATATAAGATTTGTAAAGGTTTATGTCCCCTCTTTTCCCTATTTTTTCCTTCAAACCAAACACATATTGATTGCAATTATTCTTTTGTTCATGCTCATGAGAATGTGCAGGAGGGTGTTCAAAATAACTCACTTTTCTCATGTAGTCCAACTCAGGCCATTAGGAGACAGGAAATCTGGCTGTCTAAATTTGACGGTCTGGAGTGGAGATCACTTTGGCTGTTTGGAAGAAACAGCCTGGGCTGTTTTTGGGAGCCTCTACGTATTATACCTTAATTAGCTATTTTAGGTCCTCCTCATTTGTCTTTTCAACTAAAAAAGTATTGAATGAAAAATACTATTTTGCCCATACTCATTAAAAGATGTCATTCACAGCAGACTCCTAAAACAGTTCAGGCTGTTTCTAAAAAGTTTTTCCTCTGGTTTGTCATTAGGGCTCTCCTCTCATGAGAGAGAGAGAGCACTATTGACAGCCAAAGCTGTTGAATGCAGACAGCTAAAACTCTAATGCTCAGTTAATTGGTGAAAATGCGTTTGGTTTATTTTTATTGTTATTTTTTTGCTTCATAGTTGATTTTTGTCTTATTTGTTTGTGAGAAATAAAATAGGAAATAAAATTATATTATCCTTACCTTATATAAGAGAATGGAGGTAGCTGAAGGGTTATTTGTTTGGAAATGAGGTAGGAGGCAAGATGATGCATTATCACTTTATACAAGAGAATTGAGATAGGAAGAAGAAGGTGGTGTAAATTTTACTTCAGTTTTGAAATACAAAATTTTTATTTCGAAGGAATATAAATTAATGAGACAAAATAATATGACTTTTATATCATATAAGAATGCAAACTATGATTACAAACAAATAGATGCAAAATTTGTATTTTGATTATTATTTGCACTGCAAAGTTTAAACAAATAGAACATGAGATTATTGTAAAAACTGTAATTTAAGTGTATAAGATGTATGGATTCATACATGTATTAATGAGCAAATTCTGCTTTGGTCAGTGCAAGCCCATGTTCACACTGTTTGAACAGCCTCTTGCAACCTTGCATTGGGAATATGTCTCCATGAAAAGTATTGATTCGAGGGTGATTCTTAAAAGTTGAAATCTGGTTATTGCATAAAATAACAAATTTCATAAGCTGGTCTCAATTAATGACTTATATTTCTCTCACATCTATGGAAGTGAGTTTTTCTCTCTCACACTCTTCATGAGGGTTTTTCTCTCACATCTATGGATGTGAGTTTTCATTTATTTCTCTTCATTTCGGTGTTTGTTGGAGGGGTTCTTCGAATAGATTCGAGAGACGACGGTTTTGATCCAGGCCTATGGAGCAGACTTAGGATCTTTGGTTCTATTCATTCTAATCTTTGTTTTCCCTATGCTCTTTTTTTTTTTATTTCTGTTGTGTCTTGGTCGAATTCATGTGTGGTTTGCCTTTGGGGTCTGCCATGGGTATCCATTTATTTTGTAACGATGTTATTGTTTCTAGCAAGCCTTTTTCCGGTGATGTTTGAGTTCTCTCCGGCAACATTCTTGCTCCAACTGTTTCGGTTTCTATATGACATGGGTGGGTGGTTTAATTGCACATTTTACGAGCCTACAGTTACAAGTTACAATTTTTTTTGTGCACTTTTGGCTTTCTATGGAGCCTATTCCTTGAATGTTTGGACGGTGAAGCGTTAGGGAGAATTTTATAACAAGAGGCAATCTTCGGCCTCTCCCGTTGTCAGTTTTCAATATTGCCATAAATTGGGTGCCATAGTACCTGTTTTCTCTATACCCCTTGGGGTTTTGCGTAATTGATCTGGACTCATTTGGTAGGGAGACACACTTGCTGGCTTCATCTCAAATCGATTTTCTCATGATACTCATCTGTTTTTGTCTCATCATGCTTAACATGCTTAACATGTTTGTTTTTATAACCTGAACATTTATTAATTAACTTGCCTTTGGGCGTAAAACAAGCCTACTTGAGATTTGTGCATTTTTTCTAATTCATTAATCATTATTTTATTTCTTTATTTAAATGTAGAAGAAAAGTGACCAAACATGTGACTCAAACGTGGTTTCTGACTCTCTGTCACTTCCCATGTTTTAGTCTTCAAATCTGTTGTTGACATTTTTTTTAGCATACTTAATTTAATAAAGAAACAGCTAATTAAATTGATGTCGAGGATTAGGTAATGGAGGTCTCTACTATAACTATAATAATGGATTAATGGAGGTCTCTACTCTCTAGACACAATGAGAAAGCACTTTATTTCTTGTGTGGAAGATGGTGGTGACAGGCAAAATTCAAGTGGAAGGTATAAGTTAAGGCTGTATTTAGTTTGATATACAAATAAGGGAGAAACAAAGAAGTTGAGGGAAAGTCGTTAAGAA